TACTTAAAGGCAAAATCTTACATATTGTGCCTTTAAGTATTTGCTTATTTAAATCCTGACAGTGAATTTTTATTTTATTTTTATTTTTTGGCCGGGCAGTGTAACCATAGCGTATGCTTGTAAATGAGGTCTAAAACGGTGCTTCTCAATCGGGGGGCTGGTGACCACTATAGGGGACTTAGCAAACTTCAAAGGGGAATTAATAAGTCTAAATTATTTAAAATATTTAAGTTTATAAAACTCCAGGGCCCCCTTCATCCAAGATCCTTATATATATATATATATATATATATATATACATATGTTGTAATAAAAATAAGTAAAATAATACATATGATTTTAATGTTTTCTTTTAAAATTTGAAAATAAGATATAACTAAATTTGAATAATGTTACTGCTGCTTCTTCTAATCAATCATCTTCACAATTTTTGGACCACTTGAGATAGACTGGCCCAACTGTGTATAATGACATAGGTAATACAACGTAAACATGATTTATGAGGACACTTCCTGTGCCCCCGTAAACCAAAAGGCTTTAAAATAAAATAGTAAATGGTGTTTTTTTTTTACTCAAAAATTGCCAGTAGTTTTCTGTAAGGGGTAGGTTTAGGTGTAGGGCGATAGAATATACAGTTTGTACAGTATAAAAACCATTATGGAGAGTCCCCATAAACCACATATGCAAGAATGTGTGTGTGTGACCTATATCTCTGTGGTCCTGCTTTAATCCTGAACTCTCCTCCATGATCCACACTATTTTTTATTTTTTTAATCTAGCATAAACAGGCAAAATTAAGTAACCCTTTTAAATTGCAGAAAATTCTGGAGCGGGTATATACATATATACAGTTGAGGTCAAAAGTTTACATCCCCCTTTCAGAATCTGCAAAATGTTAATTATTTTACCAGAATAAGAGGGATCGTACAAAATGCATGTTATTGTTTAGTTAGTACTAACCTGAATAAGATATTTCACATAAAAGATGTTTATGCAACTATTACAGAAGGTTCAAATGCTCAGTGATGTTCCAGAATGAAAAACCATGCATTAAGAGCCAGGGGGTGAAAAAAATCCCAGGATGGCGACGACGATGATGACCGTACTTTATCACAATCATCATCTTCCAGTCGCCACTCAGACTCTTACTCGAGGTCTAGCTCGTCCAATGCAATGCAATGGTAACACACGGCCCCAGTTCTGACCGTCACTTGAAGGAGGTTGCAATACAGACTCAGGCAGATGGACTAACTTACACATGGTCTTCTGGTAGGTTTACATTATCTGATACTTCAGGCCAGCCAGACTATTTTTTTGGGGTGTTCCTCAGGGTTATAGTTTAGGACCACTTTGTTCTTGTTCTGCGAAAAATGTATTTGGGACAAGAACTCGCCCAAATCATATTTCATATTAAAATCAAAATATTTTTTATTTATTATTTGTTTGTTTGCATTGTGACACTATTTTCCATGACATTTAAGCACATTTTGCTCCAAACTCCCATTACCATAATGCAAAAAACCTGGACATGTTTTTGTGAGATCCACCCATTTATGTTGTCAATTGTTTCAGGCATGGCTGCCGTTGGTCCATCATTGGGCATGATGTACATGGCACTGAAACCATCGAGAGTGAGTACACAATATGAACTACACGCTTTACGTCTGAATAACCCTGAACCTAGGAAACATGAATATCTCAAGTGGTTATTATAAAGAATCAGAACATTTCAGTCACTGAGGAAATCCTTTTCTTACTAGTTGAACTAGCTCATTATCTTCCATGTTAACAGGTTTGACGGCATACAGTCCCGCTGTTTTTGCACTCAACGACGTTGCTGCAGTAGTTGGCCCTCACTAGAGCATTCATCGACTCCACCAGACGTCACTACACATCATTGATTGAGTCACTGGGACCTGCTGATTACAAATACACCACACTAGAGGATACTAAAGAGGTAAGAATTTGACGAGTAACGAAAATGAGGCTGTGAGGGTTAGACAAACAGCGGTTGTAGTTTATATATCAAACATTTTTTTAGATTTCTTCAATATCTTTAGTGTTTACTAACAGGACTTTTTCTTGTTCTAGTTTATTCACGCTCACAGGCCGCCCAAACTCTTTAGAAGAAGTTCTACAGGAAATGAGAGACTATCATTAGTTGAATGAACAGATGATCAATGTTTTGGATGCATCGTCCACAAATCATAAACAGCCAAAAAAATTTCAATCATTGTTCATGCAATAACGTGCCTAAATAAACCAGCATTTTTCAGTATCTGTTCATCGTGCTTTACTTTAATCATTCATGCATAAATAAAATGTTTACATAAACACTGTGCCCTTTTTAAAGTGTCTTTATTTTGCTTGTACAGAGTCTCAGATTAATCAAAGGAAACGCTTGCGATGACACTGACACCTCCGTGAGTTACAATATGATGCTTTGATGCATTTTACTACAAAAAGGAACCAAGGGCAAGATAAAACGTCCAAACAAATGTGAAAAACAACTTTATGACATCTACAGTAAAAATACAGACCATGTGTGATGGGTGATCACTCTGTGCTGGAGGGATCCTGTGGGTCAGACCCAGCAGGGCCTGAACCCAAACCAGATGTGGAGCTGCGGAGAGACCATATTTCATGTAAATCGCTATTTGGATTGGATCAATTTACTTACATTTATTAGGTGAAATTATCATAAGCCAAAATCTGCATTCATTTTTATGCATTTATTTTAATTTAAATACATTTTTTTTTTTATGTCAGATGGCATGACAGCAATAATTAAACCACTAATTAGGGATATGCCGGTATCAAATTTTCATGTTGCGATTAATTGCTAATGCGGTCTACCACTAATCATAATTTTTTACAATTTTTCAATCCTGCAGCGCAACAACAAATTTAGCTTTAGTCCCAAAATTTGACTTGTGAAGGTCAAAACTGACCAAATAATAATAATACAAATAAATAAATAAATACAATCATAAACATTGCAATCTGGATGGGATAAATTTTTTTTGCAATTCTTTTCAAATTTTGTTTTAGTAACAATATTTAACTTATAAAGGTCAAAATAAATGTGGAGAAGATTTGTAACCAAAAATACAATAATAGACTTTGTAATGGGATTTTGTAGGATGGGATTAGATTTAAATTTCGGAGCCCCTAATCAAGGTTATTATAGTTTAGAATTTTTAAATTAGTTTTATTTTAATATAGGCTAATAAATAAATTCTAAACTTCTCTGAAGACAGTCAGTTCCCCTCAGAAACACATTCATATAAACCCCCATATCAATATTAAGTATTTTCTTCCAATAGTTTGTGCATCATGAACAGTGAGTGATCTGCCTGCTACAGTATTTTTCTCTGTGCGTCGGTCTTCAGCGTCTCTGGCCTCTGTTAACGGGGTGTTTACAGACTTCATATTTTCACATAAATGACATTTGGAAAATGATATGCATTGCAACGCAGTTTGTGCAACAGAGATCGGCTGCAATAAAACAATAAACGGCCGGTTGCCGATCGTGTAAGTTCTAGAGGAAGCTCCTTCGGCCGTCATACACACACGTGACTGACCGCTCGCTCGCACCAACAGGAGGAGGAGGGTTGTGTTACTCTCTACACTGCACTCAACCTGAGGGATTCCTACACTTTCAGTCTTTGAGGAGACATGAAAAACAGCGCATACCGCAGGAACGGTATAATGGAAAATATTAGCGGTTTTGAAACCGTGACATTTTCAAATCGCGGTATACCTTGAAACTGGTAATCGGCCCATGCCTAACCTGATGTAATAGATTTAATGCTGGTGTGGTTCGGGTCGTGACTCGCAGTCTTTATGTCAAACGGTTCTGGTCTGATACAGAATTAATTAATAAATTAATTAAATAAGTGCTGCTGTTGGATAACGGGTCGAATGTTCTGTTAAGTACTGCTGGTGTACGTTTACCAAAGAGGACCCGTGCAGGACTGTTCTCTCTGTCAGATAACCTCACGTGTGCGATGCGCCATTTACAGGTATTTCCCTAAACCGCCACACAGCTCATATATTTTTCCGCCAAGGGGTGAGAACGTAATGATTACGAAAACGATTATTTATTTTTGATAATTATTATTTTATTTCAGTTAGTTTTTCCAATAACTGTTGTTAGTTTTGTTTCATTTTAGTTTTTCCAATTATTTTGTCATTTTTATATTATTTTAGTTTACGAAATTGTTTTTTCATCAATCGTTTTCATCTTAGTTTTAGTTTTCATTTACGAAAATAACCTTGCCCCTAATGAGTGGAAAAAAATAGGTAATTTGCTCCGTAATTTTTACTGATATTTTTTTTTACAAAATTTCACAAAATAAAAATGTCAGTTACTCTTTTTAATCAAAAAAATAATAAAAACACAATAAAACAAACTAAAATAATAAAATATCAAATAAACGTAAAAAAATAAATAAAAAAAAACTGATGCAGGCAGGATCACAAAACAACAAAAAAAAGTGCTTTTCAAATGCGAATTGGATTTGGGTAACAAAAGCAGATTGACTTACGCTGGTGTCGGACTGCGTGATTTTGCAGCGTCACAACGCTTGTCTGGAGATCGTGATCTGGAGCGAGATCTGGAGCGGGAGCGACTTTGGGACCTGGATCTGGAGTGACTCCTGCTCCTCCGGGAGAAAGTAAAAAATGTGTAAAAAAAAATTATAAAAACACAATAAAACAAATAAAATAAACTATCAAATAATAAAATATCAAATAAACGTAAAAAAAAACTGATGCAGACAGGATCACAAAACAACAAAAAAAAAGTGCTTTTCAAATGCGAACTGGATTTGAGTAACAAAAGCAGATCGACTTACGCTGGTGTCGGACTGCGTGATTTTGCAGCGTCACGACGCTTGTCTGAAGATCGTGATCTGGAGCGGGAGCGACTTCGGGACCTGGATCTGGAGTGACTCCTGCTCCTCCGGGAGAAAGTCAAAAATGTGTAAAAAAAAATTATAAAAACACAATAAAACAAATAAAATAAACTATCAAATAAACGTAAAAAAAAACTGATGCAGACAGGATCACAAAACAAAAAAAAGTGCTTTTCAAATGCGAACTGGATTTAGGTAACAAGGTAGTTCGACTTACGGTGGGGTCGGACTGCGTGATTTTGCAGCGTCACAACGCTTGTCTGGAGATCGTGATCTGGAGCGAGATCTGGAGCGGGAGCGACTTTGGGACCTGGATCTGGAGTGACTCCTGCTCCTCCGGGAGAGAGTCAAAAATGTGTTCAACAACAATGTCAAAGCAGATATTTTTCTGGGATACCGAGAGCGAGATCTGGAGTAGGAGCGAGAACGAGAGCGGGATCTGGAGTAGGAGCGAGAACGAGAGCGGGATCTGGATCTGGATCTGGAGCGAGAGGATCTGGAAGATCTGGAGCTGGAGCGTGACGTGGATCGTTCCCGGCTGCACGTCCGACTGCGTGAAGGACTCCCTTGGGTGCTGCCAAAAAATCATCACGTGAAATGTTACTGAGGAAACAATGGGAATGACTTTTGTTTAGTCGCATCTGAATTCCTGTTATTTTAGTATTAGTAGAACACTATAATACAGTTTATTAATATTTTTAATTAGCTTTTAGTTTTATATTTGCAGTTTTCATTTTAATTTTAGTTTAAGTTTTACTAATGTTGTGTTTTGTCATTTTATTAGGCTTTTTTATAGTCAGTTTTATTAGTCAATTTGTTTATACTTCAGTTTTAGTAATTTTAGCATACCATTATAGTATTTAAATATATTAAGAAATATATTCGATTTTATTTTCTTCATCATTCATTTAAATGAGTTTTAATAATTTTATCATTTTTATTAGTTTGTATATTTATATAGTTCTTATTTCAGATTTCAGCTATTTCAGTATACTATTATGGCATTTATTCATATTTTGTTTTTTTATTATTATTTTCAGCTTTCATTTTAATGTTAAAATTTTACCAAAGTTATGTTCAGTTGTTTGTTTGTTTTTTATATTCAGCACATTCTTATGTCAGTTTTAGTTTTAATAATTTTAGTATACTATTATAGTATTTCGAATTCGTTTTTTTGATATATATATACATATATATATATATATACATATATACACATATATATATTTATATACATATATACATATATATTTTTTTTTTTTTTTTTTAGCTTTCACTTTAATTTTAGTTCAAGTTTTTCTACATTTTGTTGTGTTTTGTTGTTTTTATATTTAGCATATTTATTTTTTGTTTACTATTTTAGTTTACTATTATTTATTAATATTTTGAATTAGGTTTTATTTTCTGCTTTCATTTTAATTTTAGTTTTCACAAAATTTGTTGTGTTTTGTCTTTTAAATTCTTTTGAATGATTTATTTAGGTTTTATATTTATATTTTTATTTATTTTATTTCAGTTTTAGTCATTTTCGTATACTATTAAAGTATTAATATTATTCATCTTTCATTTTAGTTTCAGTAATTTTGGTGTATTCTTGTTTTTATTAGGTTTTTTATATTTAGCTTTTATTTCAGTTTTAGTCTTAGTAGCTTTAGCACTTCAATATATTTTATTGAATTTCTAAGACAACATTTGTAATTATGCTTAGTTTTAGCTTTTCGTCTATTATTTACATTTTTTTCAGTTTTATTTCAACTAATGAAAATGCTTTTAATAGGTTTTGTTAGAATACATTAAAACAGTTAATTTCTCCCACACCTGTTGTGTTTGTCCTGTTCCTTTTTCCGCCTCTCTCTCATTTTGGCCCGGTGGAACTCATACAGACCGCCCTGTTCCCAACCCTCACTGGAAAAATTATCGTTTTCATGTCATTACAAATGAAGTATTAAATAAAAACAACCAAAAACCGACAACTCAAGAGCAGTCACATTGGTGTTCACCTGTTTCTGGGTCTGTCGTGGGACGGCAGGATGTAAAACGCCTCCACTGCAGCCAGCAGACGGTCACTGGGAGGCTTTGTGGGCAGTGGACGGATGTCTTTTGGGTCCAGAGGCTTATAATCATGATCTTCAAGCTATTGTTAAAGAGAAAGTTTAAACTCACATTTAAGACGAGACTGACAAAAACAAGCATCTACTTTCCCAGCTGACTTCGAATGTAAAATTACCTTCACAAGCGGCGCCATGAGTCCTGCGGGAAGGTCAAAGTAGGGCACATTGGGCACCAGGCTGGAGTCGTCCTGACTGACGTGAGATGGGGTCTGCCGCCGCTTGTGTGGTGCCTGACAGTTAAAGTCGTGAGGAGGCGGCCCCAAATCAGGATGCTGGTTCCCGCCCCACGGAGGAGGATCAGATATCCCAGGAGGAGGAATCCTTTGGTTTGGGTGGTGATCAGGGGGTGGACTGATCTCTGATGAAAAGAACAATATATTATGTATGTCATAAAGCAAGGAGTAACCTGGGAATTTAAGTCCTACTTGTGGCAAGTCTAAAATTTCAGCATGCTAGTCAAAATTGTTTAATGAAACTATAAACTCGACTAAATGTCTGAAATTATTAGTTTTTATTTACCGTTACATTCTATGCATTTTTAGAATTTTTCAAAACTTTTTCAGACTTTCAAAACTGTCTTACACAAATTTAGAATTTTTAGTAAAACTAAAACATGCACAACAAAATCAGAAAACAATTTGCCTACTTTAGGCAGACTTTTTGGAGCAAAACAACAACAACAACTGTCTGTTAACTATTAAATTATTAACAAATTAACTAATTGTTTCTTATGTCTCTATTTGTTTTTTTTTGTTTTTTTTCTAATTTGGAAAATAGGTGATTTGTTTTATAATTAATTCAAGAATTTCAAGACTACAGAACAACAATAATTACTGTTATTAATATTCAAAACAGTATATTTAAATCGTAAAAAGTAAACATCAGTAAAGAAATATATTTTTATTACAATAATACTTTAAAATAAATAACTGTACTGTAAAAAGAAAAAAAAAAGAAAGAAAAAAAAAAGCATTTTTGGTCACATCTGAATTAAAGTTTTATTTAAATATTAGTAGGAGTGACCCCGAATAGTCGAAGATTCGATGCTTCAATAGGAGGACCCTGATTCAACTACCAATCTCACAGTCGAATATTCGCCGGTGTTATGATCATGCCATTTTGGCTATATGGGGGTGCTCAATTGTCTGATTTCACATAGAACTACTGGTTTTCTCTCAATAAGTTAATATACAGCCTATTAACATAATGCTGTAAATAAGAAGCTGAAAAGAAAGAAGCTTTAAATAAATATCTTAATGTGCGTGAATAAATCCAACCACCCCTATAGATTTAAGTTTCACTTTCCATAACCCGTGACCGACAGAGGAGCATCTTGGCAGCAGGGATTTAAATCTTTAACAAGACTCAAACTGACAGACAGAGTGAAAGACTGGATTTTTTCGATCAGGTAGGGTACAAGTGATTTCAAAACATTTCAGCCGGTTTATAAATATTGTGTATATATTATTTTTCTTGTATAAGATGCATTTGGTTGAGTTGCGCTGCAGTAAAGCGCTTCATTGTAATACTACGGAGATTATCTCTTCAGCGCGCAGCGACAAACAACAATGCAGAATATTAATAACTTATGACTGGGACTGTCATATACATAACATTATAATGAGAACACTATTATAATAAAATGCTGTGAATTTTTAGAGTTTAGTTGCAGTGTTTCTGCATGTTGTTGCGTGAAAAACGCATCCACAAAAGGAGTTCATTCAGAGCAGCGCAGACACGTTCATGTGCATTCGGGGCATTTTGTGCAGCTAGCCTATACGTCGTAATATTAACGTTATGTTGTATTAATAACGAAGCGTATTCTATATGAGATAAATTAGTTAAATCCCATTGATTAAAAACCTGCTATCAAATACTTCATTCTACTGGTGATCTTCAGCACGTACAGCTCAAAACAAAAATGCAGAACATTAATAACTACTGTCATATACATAACGTTATAATGAGAGCACTATTATAAGAAATGTTGTGAATTCTTAGGGTTTCGCTGATGTTTAATGTGAGATATGGGAACGATTACTACGTCTGCTAAGATGCTATGGGAAAACTCCTTTTTCTCTGAATACTGAAGCCTTTCAATAATGCAGTGTAACTGCACGGCCATTGGTGACGAAGCCCGCCAGAGCCTGCCAGAATGGGCGGGGCATCTGGCTATATAAGTGGCATTTTGCCATAGGATCCTCAGGTTACTTCGACTGAAGCCACGACTGAATCATGCAGCTACATAGCACAGCCAGCAACGCAGTACTCGTTCCCGTATCTCAGGGAACCGAGGTTACGTTAGTAACCGAGTACGTTCCCTATCGATACCTCACTTGAACTGCATCTGCTAAGACGCAAAGTGGAACCAGTACAATCCCGCTGTGCTATGCTAGAGGAATGACTAATACTTGAACTTGCCTTGAGCACCAATGTGGCTCAGAACGACCAAGTATTTTTCAGGGAAGCCCCGCAAGAGTTGATAGGGCCAAACTCACAAAGGTCGGCCTGGCACGGAGTAATCGTTCCAAGGTAAATTGTACAGCCTCGGAACCCAGTGGGTGCCAAGAGCATACAGTGAAGCACTGGTTTTGCCATATGGCTAAGTCCGTTTAAGCAGAAAGGACCCAAGCCTGTAAGGCCGGGACGTCCAGATTATAAAATCTGGTAAATGTGGACGGCGAGGCCCAGCCGGCCGCACCCAAATTTCTGCAATGGACACGCCGCTAGACCAAGCCCAGGAAGAGGCAACGCCTCTTGTTGAGTGGGCTCTTACTCCCATGGGGCATTGTAGGCCCAAAGAAGAGTACGCTAGCTTGATTGCATCAATTATCCATTTGGAAAGTTTTTGCTTCGTGAACGGAGACCCTCTGGTGCGGCCACCGAAGCATACAAAAAATTGTTCCAACTGCCTGAACGGGGCAGCACGCTCAATATATATTCTCAATGCCCTGACGGGGCAGAGTACATTCAGCTACTGGTTCTGCTCCGAAGGAGGAAGTGCCGAAAGAGCTATTACCTGTGCTCTGAACGGAGTCAAGAGCACTTTAGGTACATAACCATGCCTCGGCTTCAGGACGACCTTGGAGTCGTTGGGCCCAAATTTGAGGCAGGTGGGGCTCACCAAGTGCGCCTGCAGATCTCCCATATGCTTTACCGATGCTAACGCCAGTAGCAGAGCGGTCTTTAGCGTCAGGGGACGAAGGTCAACGGACTGTAGCAGCTCGAAGGGAGGGCTCTTCACCTGGGCAGGTCACATGTAGGGACGGTGACAGGGCGAGGTGGGTTGAGCCTCCTACACCCCTTCAAAAACCGAACAACTAGGTTGTTCCTGCCCACCGACTGACCAGCTATAGGAGTGTGTGAGGCTGCTGCATAGACCTTGAGCTTTGAGGGGGAACGACTCTTATCCAACAGCTCTTGCAGGAAGGACAATATCAGAGATATGTCGCAGGAATATGGGTCTGCGCCGCGGGCCATACACCAGGCGGAGAAGACAGACCATTTAAGGGCATAGAGGCGTCTTGTAGACAATGCTCTATCCTGAGAGATTGTGTTTAGCACGTTCTCGGGGAGGTTCGCAATCTCCCATCGAGAGGCCAAAGGTGCAGAGCCCACAGCTCGGGCTGGGGATGCCATATCGTTCATTTCACCTGAGGAGGTCTCGACTCAGGGGAATGGGCCACGCGGCTGCCGAGAGCAGCTGGTACAGCTCTGCATACCACTACTGGTTCCTCCAGAGCGGGGCCACCAACAGAATCTTGTGTTTGTGTTCCCTGACTCGCCTGATTACCTGCGGGATCAGAGTGATCGGGGGAAAAGCATAAAGGAAGAGGTTGGGCCAGTCATGGGCCAACGCGTCTCTGTCTATCGAAAAGTAAGTTGGGCAATGAGAGTTGTCTTCTGAGGCGAAGAGGTCGACCTCTGCCTTGCCGAAGATCTCCCAGATTCTTTGAACCGTACGTTGGTGGAGCATCCACTCTTCTGAGGGGATGTTGCTCCAAGATAGCATGTCTGCTCCTTGGTTCAACATGCCCGGCACATGCACTGCCCTTAGCGAACGCAAGTTGAGCTGAGCCCATTCCAGGAGGCGCTCTACCAGAATGAAGTGGCGCTTCGAGGAGAGACTGCCCTGGCGATTTATAAATGTCACCACTGTCATGCTGTCCGCCAACATATAGTGTCTCCTTAGGTCTGGCAGTAAGGTGCAAAGGCCAAACATACTGCCAGCATATTGAGGCGGTTGATGTGAAGCCGACCCTCCTCTTTCGACCAATGGCCGAAAGCCGGTTTGCCATCGCACAGCACTCCTTAACCCATGTTGGAAGCGTCTGTCGAGACCACCTTTCTTCTGCAGACCATTCCCAGGGGCACACCTCGTTCCATCCACTGAGAGTCTTTCCAAGGGGCCAGAGCTGCTACGCGGGTCCGGTCCACCTTGACACGAAGGCGTCAGAGACGTCAGGCGTGGGACGAAACTCGTGGTTTCAGCCAGCACTGAAGGGGCCGCATGCGAAGTAGGCCCAGCTAAAGTACCGGAGACGCAGAGGCCATGAGGCCCAGCATCCTATGAAACGCCTTGAGAGGGCGAGGGGCTCCAACTTGAATGAGGCCACGAGCTGCTGAATAGCCAGTGCACGTTCTGACGCGACTACCGCCCTCATTCGGGCTGAGTTGAGAACTGTTCCCAGGAACGATATCCGTTGGCTGGGGGACAGCGCGCTCTTGGCAAAATTGACCCTGAGTCCCAGGCATTCTAAGTGGCTGAGGAGGAAGGATCTGTGAAATAGTAGCTCATCCTCCGACTGGGCCAAGATGAGCCAGTCATCGAGGTAACTCAGAATGCGATCGAGGATGGGCCTTAGATTGCCATCCTTTTTGGGGACGAGGAAGTAGCGGCAGAGGAAGCCTGACTCGCTCTGAGCTAGGGGAACAGTTTCTACGGCTCCTATCGCCAGCAAATTCATCACCTCAGGGCGAAGGACGTGTGCATTTTTGCTCTAAACCGAGGTGGAAACCATGCCGCTGAATCGCGGGGGTGTTCGAGCGAATTGCAGTGAATAACCTTGTTTTATATCCCCCAAAACCCCGTCTGGCACTCCGGTGATGGCCTGCCAGGCCTCAGCCCCCGTGACAAGGGGTTGGATTAATTTGAGTGGCTAGTCGCCGTATGGGGACCCCACACTCAGAAGAGGAAATTTGCTCTCTTTTGAAAATGCTTTAAAAAAAATTTTCGCTAGACTTAATGCTCTCAGCCCTCGTGCGTGCTGCCTCAGCGTGGGCGTGGCCCAGACGCGTCCAATTTGAAGCTGTCAGTGATAATCATTAGTGACAGCATTCTCTTTTAATCTGCCTAAAAAAATCAAACCGCTCATTAGAAGAGTACTGATGATCTTTGTGTAAACACTCAGGCAGATCAAAAGAGCTGCGCGCATTCTCTCAGATCCTCTCGTAGCGGACGAGGGGCAGGGCCGCCGTCATTGAAGAGGGCGAGCCGCGAGCAAAGCAGAGCGAGACATGAACTCTCATAGTGAGAGCGGTCTGTCAGAGAGCGCAGCCTCAGCGTAGGCGTGGCCCAGGCGAGAGGCGCATTCAAATACGAAGCTCTCAGCGATATTGAATCATTGGTGACAGCATTCTGCGCGATCCTCACGTGGAGAGTGATGCACGCAGGGGCTTTGCCGGCATTATATCACTCAAGCCTGATCGCTCAACCCCGCGAGTTCGCCATTTCTTCCTCCGAGTAACTGGGAGGAGAGAAACACAAGAGCGGGGGAGGCGGGGGCTCAGCGACGCATACACAAATGTGAATCTGTCCACGTTCTGCTTCGATCTGCTTAGGACGATTAAGCCGCTTGATGTAACAAGGGGCGCTGATCCTCACTTGTAACACACTGGCAGATCAAGCACGCATGATGTGTGCCGGCATGAAATTGCTCAAGCCTGATCGCTCAACCCGCGATCTCGCCGTTGCTTGCTCCGAGGTAACTGGGAGGAGAGAAACATGAGAGCGGGGAGGCGGGGCCATCTTCCGCGAATGAACAGGGGCAGACTGCTTTCGTGGTAAAAGCAGCCCGTCTCTGTGAGCGCAGCCATAGCGACACACACACAAATTAGAACCTGCCAGTGACAGCGTTCTGCTCCGATCCACTTAGGAGGATAGAGCCGCTCTATGTAACAAGAGGCGCTGATCTTCACGTGTAAGACACGGATCGAAGCACAGCGGGGAGAGCGAGCACACAGGCTCTGTGTCGGCGTGAGATCGCTCAGACCCGGTTTGCTTAGCTCCCAGACTTCGCTGTTTTTCTCTCCGAGGCTCGCTGAGAGAGGAGAAACGGGAGAGCGGGGCTGCCTCATTGAAGGCGGTCCGCGAGCGGAGAAGAGCGAGACTCATGCTTTAAGTGAGCATTCTGTCTCAGTGAACGCGCAGCTCACTGCCCTTCTGCGGCGGATCAAAGTGCAGCGGGGAGAGCGAGCACGCGGGGAGAGCGAGCACGCGGGTACAGTGCCGGCATGCAATCGCTCAAACCTGGTTGCTTAGTTCCCTGACTCCGCTGTTTCTCTCTCCAAGGCTCGCTGAGAGAGGAGAAACGTGAGCGCGGGGCTGCCTTCAATGAAGGCGGTCCGCAAGTGGAGAAGAGCGAGACTCATGCTCTCAGCGAGAGCATTCCGTCTCAGTGAGCGTGCAGTCTCTGCATGGGGGCTGCCCAGACAGTTGACGCGCTCACTGCCATTCTGCATCGTGCAAGATTCCCTGCACGAGCCACACTCGTAGCGCGACATTTGCAACAACGTCACTAGAAATTTAGCTCTTTTAGAACTTACCTCTTAAAAATAAGCTCTTTTAGGCTCGCCGGATGGCGGAAGGGGATCAGCTGGGACCGCTGCTGCTGCAACGCTGAAGGCGGTGAAGAAGTGGCGAATCAGCCAAGCAGAGGGTCGCTGGTTCAGCTTGATCCGCTGCGAAGGCGATTCTACGCTGAGAGGCTTCGAGTCTCATAAATCAGCGAAGAACGACATCGTCGCTGAAGGAGAAGAAATCTGAGGATCCTATGGCGAAGTGCCGCTTATATAGCCAGATGCCCCACCCATTCTGGCAGGCTCTGGCGGGCTTCGTCACCATTGGTTCGTTTTTTTTATTTGCTGCACGAACCAATGGCCATGCAGTTACACTGCGTTATTGAAAGGCTTCAGTATTCGGAGAAAAAGGAGTTTTCCCATAGTGTTTTAACAGACGCAGTACGAGTGAGGTACCGATAGGGAACTACCTTTTAATCAAGTCCGTTACACATTTTCCCTGTGCGTCAGTAATTATGACGGTCCAATGTCTGACTTGGCTCTTGGCAATGTATTTTGCCCCCCGCCCCCAAACATATGATTCGACTATCAGTCGACTATCGGCAAGATTCGAAAATTCCGATTCGACTATGAAAATCCTTAGTCAGGGACACCCCTAAATATTAATAGTATACTATAATATTATTTCGAATTAATATTATTACTTTATATTATTATAAAATATTTATATTATTTATAGTGATATTTATGTTTTATATTTTTTTTATTGAAATTTTAGTTTAGGTCTTACTAATTTTGTTGTTTTTGTATTATTTAGTTTTTATGCATTTTATTTTAGTTTTAGTATAGTATTATAGTATTTATTAATATTTTGAATCAGGTTTTAATTTTTAGATTTTCAGTTTTTATATATTACTATTACAATAACTAAAATAAACAAATTTATAAATCGAATTTTTCAGAACAGCAAAATTACACTAATAAAATACACTAACATTAATATTTATTGCCATCTTAATTTCTTTCAAACATAAAACCTTGTATTTATGCAATTCAGGATGGAAAAATGGAAATTTGTAGAAATATAGAAAAAAAATTTAATATCAAACAAAGACTTGTGTAAATTTTTCATGAAATCAGAGTCATTTTTAACTCTAGTAGTATTCCGAATAGAAAAGCCGAGGTCTCACCTCCTGGGAAGTCTCCCTGTGGGTAGTCGAATCGGTGCGGTGGATATGGCAGCCGTTCTAAATGACGCCGCGGAGGAAACTCGTGCTGCATGAAGCACGGCGGAAAGTGTCCGAAGTTGTGTGGTGGCGGCGGCTGGTTGAACGGCGGATGCTGCATGCGGAAGGGAGACTCCCTCTGGCCCCATGGCGGCGGCTGATCCGGCTGGCTGCTCCACGGCGGCTGGTCAAACTGACCGCTCCAGGGGCTTGCGGGGCCCCCGTCCCAAGGGCCACTCCAGTTGGGGTACCGCTGCTCGTTCCACATGCCCTTGTAGCTGTTCCAGGGCGGCCAGGGCGCCGGGGCTTGAGACGGGTCGAATGGTGGCTGGAGGCAGAAACATATATTAGTATTATACATATATAGTTCTGGATTGAATATTTAAATAAGTAAAATAAAAAATTTTAAGATGGTCAAAGACATTTTTAATCTGAAAACAATGCAAAAAAAATGACACTGCAATAGGTGTCTACTTGATTTTTATTTGGAAAATAAATTGTAATCCATTACTGATTTCAAATTTCAAATTACGTTACGAAAATTGTAATTAGTAACAATCTATTGCACTACTTTTTTGATTACTTTTAGATAGGGCTGGGTGATAAATTGATAACGATAATTATCGTGTGACAAATTTCCTCGATAAACGATAACAAGCATTCGATATAATGTTTATGAGGCAAAGGCGGAACAAAAGAGCGCTAGTCATTTTAAGCGCGCCACTCGGACCGTTTATCCGCTCGGATCAAAGTTCATACAGCAAGCTTCACTAGAGCAGATGCGTTCACTCGCTGATGAATCTCGCTCAAACAATACTGAACAGTGCTGTGAGATCCAGTGTGAAGCGCTTGAATTCAGTGAGGAACACAAATAACTCTGTTTACAGCATAGACTGTAAAAAAAACATGGACGTAGTGTCCGTGATGTCACTCTTAGTTTTTTGAAGAGCATTTTAGAAGCCGAAAGTGGGCGGAGCCGACCGCCGCCATCTTGGCAGAGCATCACCGCGCATCCCTCCCGGATAATCGAAAATGGGCAAAAAGGCGGGACATGGGTGAAGCTGAGGTGCCTGGTTGCTGAAACCACGCCCGCCTAGCTTGACAGAAGTGCTGCCGTGCAAAGACAAAACATCATAACTTCGTTTTTGGTCGAAAATTAGTTATTGATAATTTTGAGACATATATGACCTCCTTTATCATGTGTATAAGTATCTTGGAGAAAAGCCCCGGAGAAACCAAGGCAGAACACAGTATCACCAGTTACCTCTCTTTGATTTTGTTTTAGACCGGTCAAATTAAGTTACGGTACTCTGCATTTGTTTAGCCGTTCGTCAATATTACTGTGCCAGCCTGGAGTTATACGGTATTCTCCTGCCTTTGTTTTACTGTCCATCAAAGTCTGCGCTTTTAAATTACGGTGTAACTTATACTTTCATACATCTTTCATACATTTATAATGCAGATGCCAGCTGTCAGTCTGGGGCTGCCCACTTCTGCACATATGGGCAAAAGGCGGGACATGGGTGAAGCTGAGGTGCCTGGTTGCTGAAACCACGCCCGTCTATAGTGACAGAAGTGCTGCCGTGCAAAGACAAAACATCATAACTTCGTTTTTGGTCGAAAATTAGTTATTGATAATTTTGGGACATATATGACCTCCTTTATCATGTGTATAAGTATCTTGGAGAAAAGCCCCGGAGAAACCAAGGCAGAACACAGTATCACCAGTTACCTCTCTTTGATTTTGTTTTAGACCGGTCAAATTAAGTTACGGTACTCTGCATTTGTTTAGCCGTTCGTCAATATTACTGTGCCAGCCTGGAGTTATACGGTATTCTCCTGCCTTTGTTTTACTGTCCATCAAAGTCTGCGCTTTTAAATTACGGTGTAACTTATACTTTCATACATCTTTCATACATTTATAATGCAGATGCCAGCTGTCAGTCTGGGGCTGCCCACTTCTTATAGGTTAAGCTATTTTCATTTGGTTCGATGTAAAAACAATAGGCTAAGTATGTCTTGCATCCATTAATGTTAGCGAACATTGCAAATAAATTGGTTGCAAAACGGCATCCACTCACGTTTAACTTTTTGTCTGGTTGTTACAGTCAGAATTTTTTTTTTATCACATTACTCTGTTATAGCCTAGCCAATGATCATTAGATTTTATACAGATGTTGCTATAATCTGTAAATGGTGATCAGCACCCAAATATTGTATATAATCTGGAAGCTACTGCCTTTTGCCTTGGCGTGACATCTCACTTTTTGCAGACAGTGCAAAGGCAGAGTACCTACAATAACTTCAAAATAGCGGTAAAAATCAAGTTTGAGATCATTTTCATTAAAACATCTAATTGCCAGGTTTCCAGTGTCCTACCCATAATTAATTTTTCTGATAAATAAAAATCTTTAAAGCCATTTTTCTAAATTTCACACTCTGGAGCAGAGCGGCAGTCCACCTGTCACTCAAGTGGCCACGCCCTTAATTATGCAGAACTTTAAGGCTTAATATAATTTAAACGGATGAGTTATAAAAAAAAATTAACCCCCCTCACAGTTGTCATGAAGGTCATAATTACCTATATAGAACGAAACCACTTTTTGTACCAGGCTGTAAACATGTTTTTTTTCTGTTGTAAAGTTGGGCATTTTAACATGGCAGGTCTATGGGACTGACTCCCTTTTGGAGCCAGCCTCTAGCGGCCAGTCGATGAATTGCAGTTTTAGTCACTTCCGTATTGGTTTCAAGCGAGAGACCGGGAGGTTGCCGCTTGGTTTACAGCCAGATGAAACAGCGCTGACAAACAGCAGAAACACTGTGCGCAACGATACAGTCAGAAGACTATTTAATCTACAAATCACCATCATTTACCATGGATTTACTGTAGTAACACTAACTGCACCATGGTATTGTGTCAGAAATGTGGGTATTCGTGTCAAATTTTATTATATTACTAATGTAGACATGTATTAAATATACTGAAGGAGGAGTAATTTTTTGTGATTAAGCCATATTTTGTGATTAAGCTAAGCTATAGAGTTTATGCGTTTATACTAAATGTATTTAGTCTACTATTTTTCATACAAATACATAGAAGCCATATTACATTTTTAGCATGGTATTAAGGTGCTATATTTGTGGTTTTAACTGATTATCATGATCTAAATGTATGCTACTAAGGAAGACCAATGGTTTAAAAAACGAAAACAAAAAAAAAGCACCTCAAACAGTCAGAATAATGAAATTTCACTATATAAAAATGAGACTGCTACCATTTTTACAGATATTACTGATTTTGATAATGAACATAAATCTACATCTGCATCCTAACTCAAGCTACTATCAAATGTGTGTTTCTAAGAGACAAAAAATGTTGATATTATTATCAGGCAACACAAACCTGTTTCTTGATTTGAAACAATATCACTCATTAGAACACGCAGAACTAAGAAATAATTTTTTCTATTAAGATATTTATTTTGTTAAGGAAAAATGACTGGAAAAGTGTAAAGAATTCAAAAATGAAGTTTGTCGTGTTCTGATCATAAAGAATAGTTTAAAACCACAATTAACCGTCTGGTTTTTACAACTTCCACATTAGAGCAAAAATCTGCCTTTAAACTTGAAAGAAATAAAAACTTGACATTTATCGTGATAATCATCGATATCGACTGATATGGAAAAAAATTATCGTGATCATCGATAATCGCCCAGCCCTACTTTTAGATTATTTTTACTTCTGACCTAATTCGTTCATCAAATTGATTTGAATATGATAAACTTGTTCTATATTGATATAAAAATACCAAGAGAAAGAACATATATTTGTTATCAACAACATAATGTGTATTAAACATTTTCAGAGGAAATAACATAGGGTTTAAAAGCTGTTTAACTTAATTAAATTGTAAAAATGTAAATTATAACTATTTATAAATAATACAAATATTTCTAAAATAAATAAAAGTGGATAATCTTTTAGAATGAAAAATTTAAAAGACGGACAATTTACTGACATTGCACAAGTAAAATGTAAGCAATAACATAGTAACAGTAACCTGATTATCAGCATTTTAAAACATAGTATATTCTAATTACAAATACCTTATATTTGGAATCCGAGTATGTAATCAGTATCAGTTACTGAGTTAGTATTAATACACAGCTGCACACAGTATAAGAACTGTAAGATATTGAAGTGTTTTTTCACTCACAGGTTGTTGCGGGTTCCACACCGGCATGCTGTGCTGTGGAGCAAACCAACCAGCCAATGGAGGCATCAGATCTCCTGAAAAAAAATAAATAAAAATTGAAAATGCACCTAACGGAAATATGTCAATTTCGCAAAAACTACAATATATCGCAAAAACAAACAAAAAAAATTACGCTTGATAATTCGGCAATTCAAAAAAGGAATATATCGCAAAACTGCAATGGAAAGTTTTTTCGCATTTACAGGTCACCTGACCTACGTAAAAATCACATGATCATTCTTTAATGTACTATAACCTCCAAGAAACACCTCATACGTGGTTGCTCTCAAGTATAAGAGGCTTTCCTTGCCATTAATGCTTGAATGGATAACCCCTTATTTACACTGCACACGTCTGTGGCGAATTACGGCTCTGACACGGCCACTCTACCAGCTGCGCAGCGGCACATAAGCATCCCAGAAGCGGCTCTCCACGCTGCTTTGCTAAAGATACATGCATACATCTCCTTCGATTAAAGATAATGGCTAGTGCGGTGGCTGCGATATACATAAACCTAGCAACATCAGTCACCATGACTTACTGCGAGAGGAAAAAATTACGTTTTAGTCGTTTAACATCGGTTAATGGAAACGCTGTCATTTCGCAATACTCTTTTTATCGACATTTATAAAATATTGCAAAAGTTTTGCGCAAATCTGTAATAGAAATGCACATATTGTGTTTAAGTGTTTGGTCTAGATCTGTGAAGCAACCCCTGTAGTCATAACAAATCACCTCATAAAGACTAATAAAGCTCTAAACTAAAAAAAAAAGGAATGATATCAAGGCAGAAAATTATCAAAAGAAAGATGTTTGGAAATTATGTCACATGACCACCCATAAAATAATCATCACAGCAAACTGGAGAATAAAAACACATTATGTAAAAACTGACATATGCAAACTGGTGTTGGAAAGCTTTTAGATTTTCTTTTTAAAAGAAGTCTTTTCTTGCTCATCAAGCTACACTTATTTGACCAAAATTACAGTCAAGAGTAAAATTGTGAAATATTATTACAATTTAAAAGTACCGTTTTTTTATGTGACTATGCTAAAATGTAATTTATTTCTGTGATCAAAGCTGAATTTTCAGCAACATTACTCCAGTCTTCAGTGTCACATGATCTTCAGAAATCATTCTGATATGCTGATCTGCAGCTCAAGAAACTTTTCTGATTATTATCAATGTTGAAAACAAGTTGTCCTGCTCATATTTTTGTGGAAACCGTGATGCATTTTATTTTTCAGGATTCACAGATGAATAGAAAGTTGGAAAGAACAACATTTAATTGAAATAGAAATCTTTTGTAACATTATAAATGGCTTTTACTGTCACTTTCAATTTAATGCATCCTCGCTGAATAAAAGCATTAAAATTCTGACCCCAAACACGTCTAGGGCTGTCACGATTATGACATTTGGCTGACGATTAATTGTCTAAAAATAGTCATGGTTATTGCGATTAATTGTCTGGTTTGGGGCTTTGGTGATTATGCCGATTATCGCGATTAATTGTCTGTTTTTATGGCTTTCATTATATAATTGTGATTAATTTAAGGGTTCAGTAAATAATTATGTTATCTTTTAATCTTTTTGAGTTATTATTTTGCAGTGTAAGATTACATAGAGTATTCCAAATTCTAAGAATCGGCCAATTTCGCCGATTTTATCGGCCGATATGAGCCTGTCACAGATATATCGGTATCGGCGAATATGCCGCCGATATTAATTTTTTTTTTACAGCAGATAAAATGCTTGTAAATGGTTTAATTATGTAGTTTGTCCAGCAGAGCGCGCTCCATTGTTTGCTACTGGCGACCTGGATAAAACGCTTTTGAAGCTTAAGTCTATGGAAAACCATTGAAACTTTGAACGGCCATATCTCCGTAACGGCGTGGCCTCTTGTTCAGGCAGCAGCATTCAAGCGTCGTCTTATTCAACCGTAAGTGCCCTGCGAAGTGGACTTCACATGAAATTCCACCATGATTCCAGTTCCAAGGGAATGTACATGTTACATTCAAAGGGCATTAAAGAGCGCGAGACGTGAATTTAAATAGTATTTATTTAGAGATATATTATGTCACACTTCTCTAGTAAGTTTCGTCTGTGTGTGAAGACAGTAGCGCAAATCCGTGAATGAATGTTCCGAAGTGAAAAACTTCAAGGAATAAAGCTGAATGGAATTTAAATAAAGTTGAATAAACTTCAACTTTACTGTTCAGTGCACTGATGTCAGACTCATTTTGCATAATAAAGTTTATTGTTAAATTGTTAAATGCCCTGCCTCCATTACATATCTTTGTCACGTCATTATAAGTGTTTGATCACCACATTTGAGTTATCATTGTAAAAAATGTGTTTATGTATATATATTCTGTTTATGTATATACTGTATTCTATATATAGAAGCAGTCAAAAGTTTGGACACACGAATGGGAAAGTGTCCAAACTTTTAGCTGGTACTGTACTATAATATACACAAAGAATATCGGCCGATAAACCGATATTGGCCTTTTTTTACTCCCCAATATCGGTATCGTATCAGCCCCCCAAAAAACCCATATCGGTCGGGCTCTAATGTTAACTGAAATAAATCAATTTATTCAAACTTTTTTTTATTTCAGTTAGTTTCCAAAGCAATATTTTTTCATTTAGTTCAAAGAGTCAATTTACTACAACTAAAATTGAAATGAATAATAAAAACTGAATAGACATATTAAAATAATATCAAAACACAACTGCATTAAACTAAAGTGAAAATTAAAACAGCAAATATAAAAATATAGGACTTGCAAAAATAAAATGAAGTGAAAACAAAGCATCACATTATTTAATGTGTCATTTTTTAAATTTATGATTAAGTTCTTCTTGAGGTAAATCATTAAAATCACCTTATAATGAACTCAAATTAAAACTAATTAAAAAAACATTTGTTAAATAAAATAAAATAAACATTAACTGAAATCTTATTTCAGTTAGTTTTCAATGCAACATTTCTAATTTTTATTTAGTTTAAGTTAAAGTACTAAAATGATTAAAACTAAAATTGAAATAAATTAAACTATATTTAATATTCCAAATTTGTATATTTTAACATTAAAAATATTGTAACTTTTTTAAAATATAACATTATAAATGCATATTTTCTATATTATATAAATAATTTTATAAATATTAAGATATATGTAAATATATTAAAAAAGCTAAGAAAAATTGCAAAAATACACATCAAAATATAAAAAAAATAGAAAGTGCTTAAAATATAAAAATTAATTCAAAATATTAATGTTTTAATACTAGCAGTGAATAATAATGATACTAAAATAACACTCCCCGAACAGCTGATTTAAGTATTATAATGCATTATAATGTGACATAACAGTTCAGATGAAATCTCTGCATCTCACCAGTGATGCAGGACGCAATTGGTCAGATAAATGAGATGCAGGCGGAGCTCGAAATGCGCCTCGTCCGCAGTGATGCGGTTTCTGAGATGCGACGCCATCAGCTCGCAGTGCGGCGGGGTCTTAGCATTACTGAACATCCAGTTCTTTCCAGCCTGAGAATGAGAAATAACCAAAAAATTACTAATCTGAGACACATCAGACAGAGCGGGCGTGAGCAAGTCAGGTTTCCGGCTCGTACCAACATGGCGTCTTTGGTGCAGGTGTCTATGATGGGCTGGAGCAGGTTGTCAAACTCGTTCATGTCCAGCTGTGTCTCCACCAGCAGTTTCTGCATCTGCTGCTCCATCGCCAGAGAGATGGCGGCCATCGCTTGCGCCTGAAACCCCAAAACACATTTATTTAACAGAATATATTACTGTGCAAATGTCTGGGATCAGTAGGACTATTTTTGGGTACGAAAGGAATACTCTTATTCCGCAAGGTTGTATGAAATTGATCAAAAGTGACAGTAAAGACATTCATAATGATTTCTATTTTAAATAAATGCTGTTCTTTTGAACTTTCTGTTCATCAAAGAATCCTGAAAAACAAAATGTATCACAGTTTCCACAAAAATATTCTGTTTTCAACATTGATAATAATCAGAAATGTTTCTTGAGCAGCAAATCAGCATATTATACTGATTTCTGAAAGATCACGTGACACTGAAGGCTGGAGTAATGATGCTGAAAATTCAGCTTTACATCACTGAAATAAATTGCATTATAAACTAAATGAGTAAAGTTTGTAAACAAATGTTAATTTGGGCTTGACAAAGCCTTGTCTGAAAGTTTGAAATGACTTTGAAAAGCTTGAAGTTTGAAGATTTAACTAAGTCAATAAAATGTTACTAACATGTTGCACACTGCTAAAATGTTTAAGCAAGTGGCTAACGCTTTAACACATTGTTAACAAATTAATATGCTGCTACCATGTTTTTTACACTTTCCTACCATGTTTTGACACATTGCTAGTATGTTTTAGTGTTGCTAGCATAATTTAACACATTGCTAACATGTTTTAACATGAGTTTACACATAACTAACATGTTGTTATCATGAATTACCACATTGCTAGCATGTTTTAACATTTTGTTAAAGCTTTAACATGTTCCTAACATGATTAACACATTACTAGCATGTGGTAACATTGATTCTAGCATGATTTAACACAGTTAACATGTTTTAACATGCTGCTAGCATGTTTTAAACATTGCTAACATAATTTAACATGTTGCTAGCATATTATAACATTTTGCTAATGTTTTAGCATGTCCAAACACATTGCGAACATGATTCTAACATGCTTTAACAGTTCATGTTTTAACATGTTGCTAGCATGATTTAACACACTGCTAGCATGCTTTAAACATTGCTAACATGATTTATCATGTTGCTAACATGATTTAACACATTATTAGCATGTTTAATATGTTGCTAGCATGATTTAGCATATTGCTAATATGTTTTAACATATTGCTAGAATGATTTAACACATTGCTAACATGTTTTAAAATGTTAATATGATTTAACACGCTACTAGTATGATTTAGCATGTTGTCGTGGGACAGTCATTAAGCTTTGCTAGTGATACACAGCTTAAATACTGTAGATATTATTTATTGTACAAAAGTTTTGACCCCCTCAATGAAAGTCTATGGGACTTTGCATAGTTTTGATGGTCTGTTTAACAAAAACCATAAGTCCGATCAGTTAAAGATATAGCAACCCGAGTCACAGCACACACACACACACACACGGTTCCTGTCTGCTGTGCTGCTGAGTGGTTTGCAATTGTAGCTTTGCCTTTCTGATTAATCTTACTATCACTCTCTGTTGTTTAAAGTGATAAAATATAACTTAACTCCCACCATATTTCTGATATTATCTATCAAACTAATCTGATTAATTTGATCGTTTGCTTTTATTCTAAAACCGCGAGTGCAGCGCAAGTGCAGCGCGCGTGCAGCGCGTTAGCATTCGTTAGCCGGTTAGCTTATCATTTGCATTTCCATTCGCGTCCTTTGCGGTCTTCTTTTTTTTCTCGCTCCGTTTTTTTTCTCTCTCTCCGTTTTTTTTTCACGAGTTCATCAGTGGTAAGTCAGAATCATTCATCAATCACGATGTGTACTGGCTTCTTCTCCTGCTATTGTTGTTTGCACCGCTTGCCACATGTATAGTTTAGCTCTCTCTGTCGGCGGCGAGGGGATTCACATGTGATGAATGAGGGATTCACATGTGATAAATGCAGGGAAATAGTTAGACTAACAGAGAAGGTTTCAGAATTAGAGACACGCATCCAAACATTAATTGAGGACAGTGAGAATGTGAGGGTTGTAGATACGGCTTTGGATGCGACTAGCTCAGGGAGTCCTGTACATTGTTCGGTTCCGGTTACAGAGCCCGTATTTCAGAGCGACTGGGTGACTGTGAGGCGGCATAGTCACGGGTCAAAACACCGCTCTACCGTTCCAATCAAAACATTAAACAGGTTCTCCCCACTCAGTGACGCACCCACTGAGAAACCTGATACGGCTTTGGATGCGACTAGCTCAGGGAGTCCTGTACATTGTTCGTAAAACCCGATGATTACATTATTTTAAACGAGTCTACCCCACAAGATTACCGTTATAAACATGAGCCGCATCCAAAAGGTAAAGGGGGAGGTGTTGCTTCAATTTATAACAATATTTTCAGTATTTATCAGAGGGTGGGCTTTAAGTATAACTCGTTTGAAGTGATGGTGCTTCATATAACATTATCCAGAGAAGCACATGTTAATGATAGATCCCCTGTGATGTTTGTACTGG